CAGCCCCTGCGCCGCTCGCCCAACCGCGATCGTTCACCGGACCGTACCGCCCGGCCGCCCGCCTGCCCGCGTGCGTGCTTTGGTCTGGGCCGGCCTCCGAGCCGTCTGTCCCCACTGACCGGGCCATGCCGAGTCGCCGCGTCGCCAGACCGCCCGCTGCGCAGGAGCTGGGGGCCTTGGGTAAGCGGAGCCGGGGTTCAGGAGAGAAGTCTTGGAGCGGGGCTGGAGTTGCGAGGGTTCTGGGGGTCCCGGAGTAGTCTGGGGGGTTCTGCAGGAATCTAGAGGTTTCGCGGGGAGAGTATGAGGGTTCCGGGGACACTGTATTAGAGGGAAGGCAGGAAGCAGGGGATTGGTGAAGGGGTCCGGCCCAAGGTACGAGCGAGGCGTCCCACTAGAGAGTGAGAAGGGGGCGGGGCCTGACCCTGAGGCAAAGAAGGGGGCGGGGCCCGACTTAGAAAGGGAGAAAAAGAGGAGTGAGGGGGCGGGATCTGACCAAGAGGAGGAGAAGAGGGCGGGGACTAGCGCAAATAAGGAAGCAGGGTCCTACTCGGGGGCTGAGGGGCCGGGCCTAACTCTGGCAGAGAGAAGGGGAAGGGCCTGTTCGGAAAAAAGAAGGGCGGGGCCTGACGCAGAGAATGAAGAGGGGTGGGGCTTGCCTCGAGAGGGAGAAGGGGACTCGCTTGACACCGAAACAGTAAAGGGTGAGGTCTGCCCTGAGAGGAGGGGCTGGGAACTTTCCTATCTGATGTTGAGAAGGGGTCCTCTAGGCCCGAACTTAAGGGACAAAAGGAACGGAGCCTGAGTGTGATAAAGGGTAGGGTGAATGACAAAAACTAAAGGCCAGGACTTGTCCTTGAGTTAGGGAAGGAAGCACGGCCAGACCCTGCGGGGATAAGGGGGAGGGGCCTGATCTAAAGGGGCGGGGCTAGAAGAGGAACGGGGTGGGACTTAGGAGATCCTCTGGTCCTCTCGCTGCCTTCCATCACCTCCTGAGACATGCTTCCGTCTCTGCAGGGTCGGCTGACCTCTCTTCGCTCTCGCTCACCGTTTCCAGGACCACGGGTGAGGAGCCCTCCACAGTTCCTGCACGCCTGCATGCGCAGGATGGGGGTGGGGGGCGGCCAGTGGAGAAGGCATTGGGCATGCCTGTCTGTGGAGTTCGCCGAGGTCCATCTCAGCTTTCCCCTGACGGGCTGTGTCTCTCCCTGCCCGCGATGGGCCCCCTAGGTGTGCCTACCTCCCCGGCGATTAGGAGCTTGACAGGTAAAACTAACCCTATTCACACTCTAAGAGGAGTCCTCTTTAGAGATGGGAGAGCAGAGGGTAATGATGGCCAACTTGGGCTTTGGAGCTGGGGTTTACATGCTGGTGCCTCCACCCCCTCACTGTGTGAATGCTGCAGGTCTCTTCCCCAATCCTGGTCTCAGTTTTCCTCAACTTTATTTTTTTATTTTTTATTTTTTTAAAAGATGAACGGTAAGGGGATTTTAACCCTTTACTTGGTGGTGTCAGCACCATGCTCTCCCAAGTGAGCTAACCAGCCATCCCTATATGGGATCCGAACCCATGGCCTTGGTGTTATCAGCACCACATTCTCCCAAGTGAGCCACGGGCCGGCCCTCAGTTTTCCTCCACTTTAAAATTGGCATAATATAAGTGCCTTGCTTTAAGGGGGATTGAGAGGATTCGATGACTTGATACAGGTAAACTTTCAAAGTAGTGTCTGGCACACAGTAAAAGTTCAATAAACGTTAACTGTTAGTGTTAATGGTATAATAATAATATCATTATTAAGTAGTCTATAATGACAGTTTTTAAACTGTGCATCAGAATCTCTTGGAGGGCTTATTAAAACAGACTGTTAGGCACTAACTTTTAGAGTTTCTGATTTAGTAGGTTTGGGATGGGCCCTAAGAGTTTGCATTTTTAGCAAGTGCCCAAGAGATGCTGAGAACTACTGGTCTACAAGGTCCCTCAGCCTGTGCCATCTGAAATTTAGTGCTGCCCAAGGAAATGCAGAATCTTGGCCAAATTACAACACCCTCTCTCATAAATTTGCTAGTATTTGGAGGGCAGGGATGGAGTCCTGTTCTTGTGGATACTCAGTGGCTCTGTTTGGCTATATCTGAGCCTTTCTCTGGAGGTAGAATCTTGGGGTGGACTCCAGAAGTGCTCGCTTAGTCATGGAGGAGGTATGGCAGGTTCCCCAACAGATCTGTGAGTTTGGGGGCTGATGAAAAGTGGGAGATGGCATCAGGGACAGGTACTGCCAAAGTGCTGGTTCTAGGCAGGAACAAGGTGAGACTTTCCTGGCCTGAGACCTAGATCTTTGGTTTCAAATGAGAGTAACTTCTCACATCATCCATTCAAAAAATATTTATTGAGCACCTCCTGTTCTGTACCTGGCGCTGTTCTGGGCAGTGTTGGGGACACAGCAGTGACTGAGACAGCCCCTCCCCTGCCCTCATGGTTCCCTACCTGGAAGCAGAGGCAGACATATAAATGACAAATTAAATGTAGGACCATAAAATGGTAATGGCTACAAGGAAATTTGGGGGTTGATGATATTAAATAGCAGAGTGGGGATAGGAGAACTAGTGAGATAGAGTTGGAAGGAAAGTTCCTTTCATTGTGATGGGCCAGACACATGCTGGGTCTGGGGATATGATGAGGATGGGGTAGACATGTTCCCCACTCTTCAGTGTTCATAGTCTATAGTAGGAGACAGATATGAATCACAAGGTAACACAAGGTCAAGTTAAATAATGCTGCAGGTCTCTTCCCCAATCCTGGTCTCAGTTTTCATTATGTTAAGTATGAGATCCAAAATAAAAAACAAAATGAATATTCAATTGGTGATAAAATATAGAAGCCTGGAGTTCCGGTGTCAGGTCAAGGGAAAGATAACCTATAAATTGCCCAGGAGTTCATAATACACAGATGCTCCTGGGAAGTGTGAAGGATGACATAAGGCAAATACAGCCAGGAGAAAAGTGAAAAGTTCCAGGGCATCTGTCCTGCACAGAGAAGAAGGATGAAGGGTCAGAGAGAGGAGGCTCGGTGTATCTGTTTAACTCAAGGCCTTACCTTTAGTAGCATTTGCAGATGGAGAGGTGTTCATTGTCCACTAAACACTTAGATAGATGAGGTGACTCTTCAAAGTTAAGTGGATACTGTGAGAGTAGATAGGGATGCCCTAGACTTCTTTTCTTTTTTGGAAAAGGCCTAAAAGAATGTGCTGTTCATAAGCCTCCAACTTCCGCCCTTTGCATATTTCCCATTCTTTTGGACTATGGTATCTTTCTTCCTACACCCCCCCCACCCCCCCAGCACTGTTCACTGAAAGTCAGTTGATATTTTCATCAGGTCAGGTTAGTAGGACTTTGTGAACACGTCATAATGGTTGGAGGCATCACTTGTGCATCCTTGAACTTGAATCTAGGCTCAAAGACTTCAAAGGAATACTCTGAACCTTTTGCAGCTGGCCTCTCACAGGTAATGACAACACTATAGTTAGCCAAGTGTTACTTTACCATGCTTTTCACTCTGACTTTTTATCTGGTCTCCTGCAGTCTACTCTTCTGTATCTTTCTCTTCCCACCTCATCTTCCATCCACTTGTATCATCTTTTAACAGTTAATCACAAAGAGAAAGTAAGAATTGGATGGTCTCCCTCTCATTTTTTAACACCTTTGACTAAAAGTGGGTAGGTGACTGTAATCATTTCCAGAAAGGACTTGCAATGTGTGCCAGTAAATTTACTATTATCTACAAATACGTGAGTGTGTAGGGGCATTGTGTGTGTGTATGGGGGGAATGAAGATTTTTTTTTCTGCTGCCAAGACAATGCTGTTTGCTTGTGCTCCTGGTCTTTATTTTGGGGGCACTAATCTGTATATATAGAGAGAGAGAAAGAAAGAGAAGATTATATATATGTAATTTTTCTTAAAGATCTCAATTTTCTTTTTTTTTTTTTTCTTTCTTTTTTTTTTTTAATGTTCTTTTTGTGACCGGCCGCACCGGGCTCAGCCAGTGAGTGCATCGCACCAGCCATCCCTATATAGGATCCGAACCTGCGGCGGGAGCAGTGCTGCGCTCCCAGCGCCGCACTCTCCCGAGTGCGCCACAGGCTCGGCCCCTGGGAGCTTCTTGAGGGGCCAAAGTCTAACTTGTCTTTGGGTCCCCAGGTTCATATAGCACTGATGCCAAAGGATTTTCCAAGTTGAAGTGACTTGCCAGTGACCAAGAGCATGTCCCTTCCTCTCTCCCAGCCTCAGTATCCCCATCTGCCAAGTGGGGACCTTGGCACCCTACTCATTCACAGATCACATGAGATAAGGAGTGCAGGAAGACTGCCTTCCATGAAGCAAAGGTCTAGCTACCAGGAGCCACTCCCTGAGAGCAGAGGAGGAGGACAGATCTGGCAGCAGGGCAGGTCTGTGTTGATAAATCCCCAGCCAGCAGCCAGCGGCCAGTGTAGGCAATCTTGGCTGGGGCAGATGGCTCTGGCCTGCCCTCTCTTGCTGTGTGATCCCAAGGCTTGCTTGCTCCTCTGGACTTGTCCTGTCTGTGGAATGATGAGATGTTGGTTTCAACTTCTCCACAGACCCTTCAAGGGTTAAGCTTTTCTGGGGTGGTGATAAGGGGCTTCTCTGAGGACCCAGCAATACTGTTACTTCTCCTTCAGGAAGCAAGGGCTGATCCAGGATTTCAGTTGGACACTGCTGGGGTCTGGGTTGAGATGCAGAGCAGGAGGCTTCCTGGATTCAGATCAGCCTCCTTGGATCTTCAGACACCAACCTGTGGCCTCTGAGGACCAAGGATGGACTTTAGGGAAGGAATGGCCCCACAATCTGTTTACAATCCTGGGTGTTCATTTTCTTCCTGGTGATAAGACCCTTTGCTTTTCCACAGATTCCCAACAATGGTTAATAATTTTAAAAATGTTTTTTTTTAGGAGGCATTTGGCTCAGTTTGAGGATATTCTGACCCTAGGACCCCAAAATTAGAGGCTAAAGGGAGAGTAGCCCAGAAGGGGAGTATGGGGTTTGGGGTTTGGCTCTCCAGTGAGTGGGAGCCTGGGGATTCCCAGGATGGAGGAAGGGGGAAGGGTTATAGGGTGGACAGGGTTGGGGAATATGTCTTAAAAGATGAAAAGTCTTGACAACTTTCTGGACCTCACCTTTCTCTTTCTCTTCCTTCCACAGATGAATTGGGTGAGTATCATGAGGCAGGTTTGCGGGGAAGCTGAGGAGTCCAAGTGCCTACAGAGGGAGGGGGGTCTCAGCCTTCCTTGTTCAATGGGGACATAGGGTGTCATGGTGTGATGTCCAGGACTGTAGGGGGATTTGAATAAAGTCATGCTCCCAAGGTACTTAGCAGTGCTTGACACTTGGAAAACACTCAGCATATGTTAGCTACCTTTAGTGTTACTAGTACGACCATTAGTGTTATTACTACCACCATCATTGTTCATTCATTCAGTAAATGTTATTGATCCCCTACTGGTCAAGTACCAGGCACCCTACTGTCCTAGGCACCGGGGATTCAGCCATGAACAAAACAAAGTCCCTGCCCTCATGAAACTGATTGTCAAGTGGGGGAGACAGGAAAATAAATAAATGAATGAGATAATGTTAGATTAGACTAAAGGAGTGAAGGAAATTAACAAGAAGAGGGAGATGGCCTGGGCAAAACATTAGATCTGGCCTTTCTGAAGAGGTGACATTTGAGCTGAGACCGAAAGGTTGAGAAGGAGCCAGCGTGAGGTGAATGGGAAAAAGTGTAGAAAAAGCAGTTGGAGGAGCAAGGATAAGGCCCTGCAGAGGGCGAGCCTTGGTGGGTGCAAGGAACAGAAAAGAGGCTGGATCAAGGGGAGAGAGGGATGGCAGGAGACAGTGAGGCCCAGGACAGCAGAGACCAGTCCATGCAAGGCTTCATGGCGAGGGTGAGGGGTGTAGGTTTTTGTTTTTGTTTTGTTTTTATGAGATGAATGGAGTTTAGGGATGGTTTTAT